CACGCTCAAAATCAAATCAAATTTTGCGGCAGACGTTCGGCGTGCGTCTTTCATGCATCTCACGAGATCTCTCAGTTGAACAGAAAATCACCTATTCCCTTGGAATCTAAAATCTCTTCGTATGATCCATTATTTAACTTTTAATATAAATTTATTTTCCTACAGTGGTCGATGATGAAGAAGGTGGCATCATTGCAGCTGGTGACATAGTGACTGTCACAGTGACTTTAAAGCGCAATACATTAGAGGTATAGCTTCATTACTTGGTGTTTCTTTAAAGTTGTGTTTCCACTTTTCACATGTGTAAAACATCACTTCCAGAACAAGCTGAAAACAAAAAAATTTGTCTTAAAGTAGATATCCTGTTCTCGCTTTCCCACTATTTTAAGTATACTGGAGGGTCACTGTAACTGACCTTCAGAAACATACAAAGTGTCTGTTGTTTACAACTCTAGCTTGATTAAAGACTTTAACTTGGATTTATATTCTGCATTTGATTTCCTTTTATTTTACATAAATTTAAAATTTGATGTGATATGTTGGTCAGGGGATGGTACCTCACAGATTTACAAGATACGAATGTACCTTTAATAATTCTTTTAGATTCTTGCATGTCAAAGGGCATGCATGTGACATTACTTTACCCATAATCCCTTGCAGGAAATCAAGATGGTGGACTACATATTACTAATGAAAATATCTAGAGAATGAAAAGTGATGTATATAAAAATATTTAAATTTTATTTCCCTACATTTGTAGAGCTCTTTCATCTGGGAACATTATATTGTTTGCCTTGACTTTTCCTCTGTCTGGAATGTCTATTTTTGTTTGAAGCAGACAATCCCAAGGTAAATTAATAGGAGGTACATCAGTTCATCTCAATATTACTTTTGATATATATGTCCAGTTCTCTTGTTTTTCTTCAGTCCTTTCTGGATCAGGAAACTCCGGACATCGTGGAAGAAGAAGAAGAACCACCTCCGGCTGAGTCGGTATGTAAATTTGTGTCTGTACTTTTAATACTTGATTAAATAATAGTAACCATGTCTTGAAATGAATACAGGTACTATGGAATTTAACCATCCATTAAAACCTGTAATGCTGTGTACAAATGTTGATGTATGCCCAATTTGGAAAATGAACATTACATTCAAACATTTGCAAACCATCTTTCAGTATTTTAATGATTCCACAAATGTGATTTTTCATTTATATGCGCTTCTGTTGAAGATGTGCTTCTAATAGAGAAACTGATTTTGCTTTCAAAAAATGTGCCATTAGTTTCAAAGCATTATATTTGTCTTTGAGAAAACATCAATGAGTGTCAAGCTTGTAAATTTTTTTCGAAAAAACACACTCGTACATTTCTTAAAACAGGTTTTTATATAAAAAAAATATGACAGAAAGCAGAAACATAAAATAATACAAAAAAAAATTGACTATCTGACTACATTGTATATTGCAACTGTCATTTATACATTCGAATTCTGAACCCAAATATGAATCCGAAGCAAAATTCAGCAATAATGTTATGTATTTGTGATGTATCATTTTATTTTCCCAAGACTGACTCTCCTAAAGCTACTAAAAATAAACCTAAAGTATGGGAAAAAAGACGAAAAGGGAAAATTAAGAAGAAAAATAAGCAAGTGAATAAAAAACAAATCAAGAAGAAAGAAGAAAAGAAAGAGGAAAAGCAAGACAAAAAGAAAAAAGATGAAAAAAAGGATGATCGGGTAGGTTGATATAGTAGATCATCAAAATACCATGAAGAAAATTTCAGAAAACACTAGCAGGATAAGGCAAGATTTATGGCTAATTTGCATATTAATGGTATTTTTGCATATGGATAATGGCTGATTTTCATATACTGTGGAATACTTTATTTTCGCTTGGAATTTATTTTCGCTATTTTCACTGAAGGGATGATTCCGTGAAAATAAAATCCAGCGAATAAACTTTTTTTCCTATATTTCACTATAAACTCATGAAAAAATCAGTGAAAATAAATTCCAAGCAAAACGCCCAAAGTCTTTTCAGCGAAAATTAGTTCCAGCGAAAATAAAGTATTCCACAGTAGTTAGTAACTAATATGGATAGTCAAATTTGCATATGGACAGGAATTAGGGATGTTCTCATATTGGCAATAGCATTATACACCCCTCCATTCCATTCCAAAATAGATATTTTAACAAACTTAACACGCACAAAAAAACAAATGCTCGTTACCTAGATGAAATAGCCCTTTGACTCCCTGTCATCCAATTAAGATCCCTTACATTTTATTTGCAAATAATCTGAGAACACCCTTTACTTTGCAACGTGATGATGCTATAGTTCATATGGATAGTGATCATGTCCTGCTGTTGTGTTCCCAAGGCAAGTATGTAACATTCAAGTTGTTTACACTAAAAATTAAATATGCAAGGATTATATTTCAATAACTTTCATATTACAGGTACAAGATGTTGGTAAAAAAGACAACAGACATGATTCAGAGGATGGTAGTAATAAACACAGTGGTGCTGAAGACAGTGATAGTGATGATAATAGAGATCAAAGACATAGCGATGGTTCCAGTGATAGTGAAAATGAGCCTGCTTCTAACGACCGTGACGGCGCTGGAGAAGATGAGGACTGGGATGAATTACAAGCAAATATTACTAGGAGAGAAAAAGTTTTAGAGACCAAGTCAAAACTTACACATGAAGTACACTGCCCGTTTTTCCCAGAGGTAGATTTATCTTTTTCTGCTTTTAAAGAACAATTTGTTCTTGATTATCATCCCCACCCTATTTAGCATGTGTTGGTGAGGAATGTGCCAGAATGTACAATAGACAAAATATGTAGCTGTTAACACTGGGACTCTTCAAAATAGATACTGTAAAATGACTACTTTTCACTGGGTTTAAATTTCACTGATTTACCATTTCAGACATATTCAGTGGGTTTTAAATTCACTGTTTTATCATTTAGATAATGTGTTCTATGCTAAATTTTACATATTCACTGTGTTTTAATTTAGCGCATTTTTCCAGTCAGCGAAATAAGCTAAATTAAAACCCAGTGAATGATTACCCCCTTTACAGTAGTTTGCATTAGCTCAGCAAAATTGCATCCTCAAATCGTGATTTTGAGCAATGACAATTTAACACTTTTAACCCGTATTTAGTTTGACATTGTGCATATTTATACATAATTTTATATAATTTTTTCGTTAATTTTGTACCAAATGGACATAGTTCCTCATTGGATCTTGATCTTGATCAAAATATTTGTAAGAAATATAAAAAAAATATTAAAATTTAGTTTTATGAATGGTGACAGGAGTAGATTTTGGTGCTTATAAGGTTTAGATTCGTTTGCAGTACAGTAGTCTACATGCACAACTAAGTATTAGAAACACCACGAGGTAGTGTGGGTTTAAAGGATGGTTACAAGATACCAACAGCCGGTTAATAGAACCTTTACTTCAGACAGGCCCTCTCACTGCAAATTGGCGAGTTTTAGAGTATTAGGGTTTAGATAGCCAACCATGAGACATGTATCTATTTTCCAAGAATAACCATCAGAATCCGTAAATATCTCAGTTGCTAGAAACTCTACCTGTTAATGTTATGGGTTCAAACCCTACCCCTTGGCCAATTCTTTACACTTGTTGAAGAAGAACTCTCGTCTTCAACTCTAGATGTTGCACCTTGCCTGTAGCTGCACTTTCCTACCCATTGTATGTCAATCTGTTAGTCTGATTTAGAAAAGCAGTTTACATGTTATGTACAGTTATCTATAGCTATTACAATGCCAGTTTAAACTCAGCTTATGTATACAAGTGTGGCTGGTTTACAATTAGCATAAATGCAATGGGTTTACAGTAATAAACTAGGCTTGCATGGTTGGCCATGAAACGTGGTATAACTACCCGGTACACTTCCTGATAACTACAATTGTCTAGACTGATTGATATTGATTACATTATTCCTCTTATGCAGGTCAAACAGGAATGGTGGTGGTTGTACTTAGCTGATAGAAAAAAACATGCTTTAGTTACAACTCCAACACAGATATGTACACTGAGAGATGAGGAAAAGGTAAGAAGATATGTCATCATTTTATGTGTACTTCATCATTAGATTATGTGTTCTACATTTCTTGTCTGAGAAACATGTTTGTGTCTACATTATCAAAGATTTCCACATACGGGAAACCAATAATTGTGTTCACTATCTACTCGGTGTTTACAAGTTTTCAATTGAAATATCACCCAGTGACATCAACTTAGAGACATCTAACACAGCGGTATTTCTACACTGGTCACTAGATTGTGGGATTTTAGTTCTGTGCTTATAATTCGGTCTATGTTTGTATTTCTGAATCCTTCAAACCAAATTTGTTGATTTTTTTGCATGTGCCTATGTGAACATATGCACTAGCAATTCAATCCAAAATGGCTGACTGGCAGCCATCTTGTTTTTTGAAAATTTTGGATATGCTTTGGTTATACTACTAAGTCAATTTCAGATTAAAGACTTGCAGTCATCTTGGTTTTTGGCCATTTTACTTTATCCTAGATACAAGTAACATTACATTTCCTGCTAATTGTGTTGTTTTAAAATACATATTACCATTCATTTGATTGGGTTTTCTTTCAGTTATATAATCTTTAAAAGTATCAATTTGTATTATTTTCAGTCACAAATAAAATTCCAAGCGCCACCAAAACCTGGCACGTATCACTATCAAGTATGTCTTAAATCAGATTCCTATTTAGATCTAGACGTACAGCAGAGTATTAAGGTAAGTTGTTCTAAAACTCGCAGACATCTAACATGAGATTTACTTCTGTCTTAGACTATGTGAGTGCATATGCGTTTTTTATTTAGAATTATGCCTGTTGAATACCATGTTTGTGAAATTCCGATGCAATTCTATGTTAATTTTAGCTCATAATTTCCCATTGGCTATAGAACAAAACTTTTTGGAAAAATAAAAAAAAAATTTGGAAAATTTATTTATTTTATGAAAAGTAGCAAGCTCGTTTAGGCTTTGAAAGGTTTATTAATAGAACTTCACAACTGACTTGCCATACTGTTGGTTTTTGCACAACATGCAGTTGGTAATGTATATTTGTATATATACTTATGAAAGATAATGTGTAGAGTGGATTTGTCAAAACAGTAACCTTGATAAGTTGCCATGGAAACTCAGAAACATGAAAGATTAAAAATAACCTTGATCATGGAGGTTTTTGATATTTCTGCTGTTTCCATGACTTTGCGTTTCACACAATTCTACGCTTCCTAGACAATGACATGACATTAATTATTGTATTTCAAAATTGATTGCACATCTGATTTTCATCAAAACCCAAGCATATGATTATTTGAGTTTCATAATTGGATTTGTGACATTGGTGTAGAAAGAGGTCTTGCCATAGAACTGTTGTCAATAATAACTAGACATATTTCAATATTTTATGGTTGGGGCGTAGGTTAAGGCTTTGTGTATTGCACATGTATTGTGTATTGGTGGAACACATCAAATTACTAGTACACAAGCTGTTTTACACTAAAACTGATTTATATTCATGCTAGTCATGTGTTATTAACCCTTCGAGTGCCATAATTGTTTGGGCAAAATTGTGCCTGTTTTAGGTATTTTTCTATATTTATTTTTGTCAATTTTGAACAAGAC